TGCCTGAGACGCTGCTGCTGCAACGTGCAGCAGCAGATCGCTGCTGCAAATCGCAGCAGCGGCGTCGCCCGCTGCTGCTGCGACCAGCGGCAGATTGCTGCTGCAAATCGCAGCAGTGGCGTCGCCGGCTGCTGCTGCGATTTGCAGCAGCGATGCAGGGGGGAGAAACGGCGGGGGAGGGGAGGGGAAGAAACGGACGGGAGGGAGGAGAAGAGGGGAGGGGGAGAGGGAGGGGAAGGGGGGGAAAAAAGGAGGAGAGGAAGGCGGTGGCGGCGTGCGGTGGGGCGGCGGTGGGTGAGAGAGGGAGGAGGTGTGAAATGGATTAGGGTTTGGATAGATGTTATATTTAAAATAAAGTGGGTGGGGGTAGATAGTGGGGTGGGTATATATGTTATTTTAATTTTATAAAATCATTATTAATTAAAATTATAAAAACCTGATAATTGAATAAAAAACTTAAAAACCTGAATTTTTAAAATGTAAAAGAAAAGACATGGTTTGGTGTAATTTCCTCTAATATATATACCCACTTATCCAAATTTTTTTTTTCTTAGTTTCCAATTCTTTAATAATTTATTTGGAACTTGTTTGTATTTTTAAAATTTTTTTAATTTTTAAATAAATTTAATTGGGACTCGTTTGCTCTTTTAAAAAAATTTAAATATTTTTTAATAATTTATTAGGGACTTGTTTGCACTTTTTAAAAAAATTGGGACTGTAATTGCAATTAATTCTTTAGTTTTTTTTATTTAAATAGAAGGTTATATTCGTTATTTCGCAGCTTTTTATTGAGAAATTGGATGAAAATGGATATAAATGGGGTTTTGTGTAATCAAATGTGTAATTAAGGAGAAATAATGCAAAAAAAAAAAATCGAAAGGCATAGACGTTTTTCGCAATAACAGTGAAAGATAGAGACATTATGTACTAATTACCATTTTAATAATTTATTTGTGACTTTTTTGCGCTTGTCCAAAAAATTGGGACTGTGGTTGCAATTAATTTTTTTCCTTTTGTTTTTTTTTATTTAAAGAGATGAGTATATTCGTCATTTCATAATTTTTAATTGAAAAAATATGTGAAAATGAAAGGTGGAAATAAGGGTGAAAATGTCGAAAAATGAAAGGTATAAACGTTTTTCACAATAACAACGAAAGAAGATGACGTTATGTGCTAATTACCTTTAAAGATTTCTTAGGTCTTCTCAAAACAAAACACCCAAAACCATATTGACTACTTAACTAAAAGAAGCTTGGGAATGAGAATAACTCGTATAGGGACTTGAGAGCAGGTAGAGTTATTGGAGACTAATTAACAGCATTAAGCACTTGTCTAAAATAGTTTAAAAAGTTGCTAAAAAGTTGATGTCAAAATCAATAATTAGTACTAATCAGATTTTTTATGGGATGCACAATTTTATAATTTTTTTAACACTTATTTCATTATTTTTTAAAAAAAATTTACTAAAACTTTTATAAGCGAGGCTAATGGGCCGAGCTCAAACCCAAGCCCAATATGCCGTTGCTTGATTAAATAAGTTCAATCCAATTAAATAATCGATACTGAGTTGGACAATGTTGGACTCCTTCCGTCACTCACATGTCACGGTAATATCATTTTAATACCAGCCAAATCATCTCATTATCTCTTGCACCATATTATATCTCGTCTAACAATTGACTTGACCGTCAAAGTGAACGATCGTCGAACTTTTTTCTTGATTGATTGCCTTTACTCCAACAATGTGTTCTAGTGTACATGAAATGTATAAGTGGAAGAGATGTGATCGAGATTCTATTGGCGCAAAGATTGAGGTCAACAATATGAATATTTGTTAATAATTTAGACAATGATTTCTATTGACCCCAAAAAATGTTGCCAACAGATGCCGGGCCCACTCGTGCATGTGCAAGCCTTGTCCAACACGCATGTGCCGAAGAACGGTCAGAAAGGCTCCAAAATCCGGACGTGGAAGGAGCTCGCCGCACGAGACGTCAGAGTTAGGGCCTCCGGCAAGAAGAAAGAAATACGATTGTATAAGAAACCAATCGATAAATAACAAGATTTGTAGTTGTAATTTTCGTAGTAAAAAGGGAGCAATATGTTTCCAAATATTCAGTTTTT